TGGGAAGTGGGGTTTGTGGTCCTGACAGTGTAAAACCTGATGATCCATTTTAGATTAGATCCATCTGTATGTCTTCTGAAATAGTGCTTCAACTGAAGGGATAAGGCTCACAGAAAATTTGACCTTTAGTACAAAGGCGTTAACACGGTCAAAGTCACAAATTTGCTTAAATTTAAATAGTGACCTAGAAATTGTGCAACATTTTGAATATTAAAAATTCAAGATTGCACATTTCCTTTTTTGTTATAGAATTTTCAAAACTGTTTATTTCCAGTTTTAAAATTTAAAAAATCCCAGATTTTCAATGTGGCTCAGACTTTTGGACCCCACTGTACACATACAGTATTTGTACAGTAATATAGTGCTTTTAACATTGGACATTGTAACAAAGCAGCTTTATAGAAATCCAAAAAATTTAAATTTATCCCTATTGGGCAAGCCAGAGGCGACGGTGGCAAGGAAAAACTCCCTGAAGCAACAAGAGGAAGAAACCTTGAGAGGAACCAGACTCAAAAGGGAACACATCCTTTTCTGTGTGACACTGAGTAGTGTGATTATAAGTTTTTCCACTTCTATAACTGTCAAATAGTGCTAATCATGTTAACTTGAATATGAGCACCATTAGAGGTTTAACTTTAGGTCTATCATGTCAAACTGAAGTTATTAACTGTTCGACGATGGAGACTTGAGTGTAAACTGTTCTTAGCAATTGCAGTCTTTAGGCTAGCCAAGGAAAAACATCCACAGCCATCTAGGGTGTCTGTCTGGTACCATCCACAGTAATCTCATGGTGATCTTTAGGCTGTCCATGTGGGCCATCCTCAGCAGCAGCGAGTGATTTTCAGGTGATGAAACCTCCAAGCAGAAGTGGGGCATCAGGATGGATCAGGCAGGTATGGAGAGCAGAGGGAGACAGGATCATGGGAATGGGAATGGGGAATGGGCAAGGGGGGGTGCAAACAGGGACTCCAGCAAGACTAGTTGTGACAGCATAACTAAAAGGGAGAGCCATAATGTAACACAGACATGAGGAGGTCCTGGGACATAAAGCAGCCAGCAGTTGTGTTTGACTTCTTGGCTTGAAAAGCCAAATCTTGATAGAAATTGCTGACGGCTTCCAACTTCTATGAGGATTAGCCTTCTCTGATCCAGGGGATGAACTAAATGATACCCAAACTATGCCAATCTAGAGTTCAGAGTGACTCTTGTGAGTATGAGTTATGCTGGTGAAGTTTACCAAGTGATGGGATGGTCAAAAGTCTTCTTGTTTGAAAAAATGCAAACACGGTACGTAAACAGACAGCTCTACAATTCAAACATTCTTAATCCAGGACATTGTTTGACATGTCCACTGAAACTTGTATTCTGAAAACATCTTAAGTAGTATTTTTTTTCAGCAAGCACAATGGACAAACCTTGGAAACATATTACAGTAGGATGCTAAAGTATTACTGGTAATTAAGTGAAAGAGTTGTTACCTAAGCAATGTTACCTTTTAGCATGAGGTCGACAAAGACATGGATGATCAGAATAGAGTTTTGAGTCCATATAAAAGACTCCCTTACCTGCACGTATGTGAAAGAGCAAGCGTTTGACCCCGACGTGATTTGAACACGCAACCTTCTGATCTGGAGTCAGACGCGCTACCGTTGCGCCACGAGGTCCCATGTGAGGGACCAAACGGCATCATAGCACAGAGTTGGCAGTGCATTCTTGTTCCTCATGGGTGATAAAGACGCATTAAAACTCAGAGACAAGTGGTGGCCTGTGACTGTTGACGATCCTGTTGACTGTTGACATGGATGTGACCATCCATGAATTTGGAAGAACCTGAGATAAAACACCATGCAAAAAGCTTGCAGGGGCTCTGTGGCGCGATGGATAGCGCATTGGACCTCTAGGCTCAGCGTTGAAATTATTCAAAGGTTGTGGGTTCAAGTCCCACCAGAGTCATTTTGCCTAAGTGTTGCTTGTTTCTTCTATACCAGACAGGGTGTCTGAGAAGAATTCTATGGTGAGGAATCCTGGTGGATTAGGCAATTCCCTACTTT